TTTCAAGAAGGAGGGAGGGTCAACTGTGTGATGCTGCCTAGAGTTCAAGGAAGATAAGGCACAGATGTGAACGCTGGATTTGACTCTCTGGAGGTCACTGTGACCTTAGTAAGAGCACCTTTAAAGCATTTGAGTGGGTAGAAGATGGAACTTAGTTCATTATTTTAACTGCTTTTGTATCTGTCTCCTCCTCTACACTGTGTGCTACTGCTTAGTTTATTTCTAGGGCTTAGTATGTAGTAGGTAGTGAATGAATGCCTGCAGGTTAGAATTTTACAATACAGTTTAAAGAATATGTTGTTTTACCCTCATTTAGAATGCATTTGGGGGCTGAAACCGTGGCTCACTCGGGAGAGTGCAGCGCTGGGAGCATCAAGGCCGCAGGTTCGGATCCTATATAGGGATGGCCGGTGCACTCACTGGCTGAGCGCGGTGTGGGTGACACCAAGCCAAGGGTTGCGATCCCCTTACCGGTCACAAAAAAAAAAAAAAAGAATGCTTTTGGACCATTGACCCTTGCTACCAGTTTGCGTCAGTTCAAAGAATGTAATTATGTGAATAATAACTTAAAATAAACATGGCAAGAAAGGCAAATCCGTTTTCATAGAGGTTCACAGTGCACCCTGAAGCTACTGTGCTGAAAAAGAACCATTCTTTGGATTTGGAAGTCCTGCCTCATTCTTTGGCTCCACTACTTAGCCCTTCTGAAGAGGTCCTGGGGGCAAGTTCCCTGCACTCCCAGGATTGTAGTTCCTTGATTGTTATATAAGGACAATTTTAACAAATTCCTTTTACAGGATTTTTGTGAGCAGCCAATGAGCTACTGCACATGAACATCCTTTGTAATAAAAAGACAGTCTGTAAGTGCTATTTTTGTAAAAATAATTGAATTATCCATTTTATTACTGACTTATACAGTAGATTAGATCAGAGTCTCATGAAATTCATATTTAAGCAGTGGCATATGAATGGCAACAAGTTGGAGGAGGACATAGGTCACTGGAAAATGTGAAACTTTTTCAGAAACATATAGGAAATTAATTTCTTTTAGCTTTGTTCTCTTATATTTCCCTGATAAATTTAATCATTCTATTAGAACCAGTGAGTACTCTTCTACTTCAAGATCTAGCAATCAAATGTAGCTACTGGTCTGTTTACCTCAGTGTGTGTATTTATGAAGGAATAAAATGTAGTCAGTATTCCTCATTTTTCTTTTTTTTTGTCTTTTTCCGAGATCGGCCGCACGGCGCTCAGCCAGTGAGTGCACCGGCCATCCCTATAAAGGATCTGAACCTGCGGCAGGAGCGCTGCTGGGCTCCCAGTGCCGCACTCTCCCGAGTGCGCCATGGGCTCGGCCCCTCATTTTTTTTTTTTTAAGTGAATACATTGATGAAATTGATTTGACAAATTTTCCTTATGGTGATTTCTCATTTTATTTTTACTTCTAGGGTAAAAATCATGGTAAGAAACTCCGAAATTACTATGCAGCAAATAGCTGTCCTCCTC